ACAGTACTGTCGCAACTATTTGCAACATCTCAAACCCATCTTCTAACTCGGCTAATTCTCCTAATGTAATCCACCCGCCAATTGATGGGGAGTACCTAACGATCGATATTTCACAGCGTCAGATGCAGTTGCGAGTAACCAACATATGACAGATACGTGCTCACATTCATGACAGCAGGTAGTTTTTTAACTGTCACTTCGACTGATGCCGCGAGGAAGTTCGCGAAGACTGCTATGTTCTGTTGTTGTGCGCCTGCGGTCTTCTTATTTGCCAAATATCCTTTATCGGCGTATGCACCTCAATTTGGAAATACTTGTAGACTTCGTGACAGGACCTCCCCCAGGCTTATGTTGCTGGCCCGACCATCAATCGACCACTAAAAATGAGCTGGAGTGGTGATCTTGACCTACCTGGCTGTCTTGAAGTCGGTGGACGCCGGCTTTTCGATAGGCATCGACCGATCGATAAAGCCAAGCTTACTTAGGTGATCCCACAGAAGTTTGTTACTTATTACTTTGGGGAAAGAGGGGAGTGTCCGGTTTGGTCCCTAGCGGAGAATGTTGATAATTCTTGATTTTTCTGTCTGTGGAGATCTTGAATATGGTCCAGCATGACCCTCGACATAGTGACTGATGCAAGTTAGGGAGACGCGAAGTGCAAAAGCGGAGAGAGAACAAGACTGAGAGCTACTCTGGGAAGGTAGAACCATCTGCCCATCGCCGAGGGCCCGCTAACAGCCGGTTCATTTCATACAGCAGTGGTCAGGTAGACTAATGTTCGCCATCCGCACAACAATAAAGAAGCGAGAGTCCTGTTTGCGACAATCGGTTATCAGTCAAAGTAAAGTCATCGTTTTTGATATATCGCATCGAGTGAATAACTAGTGCCAGTCGACGGAAGATCGCTTAGAAAAGATGGCCAAAATATGGTTTTCCCACTTAAATCTGGTCAGCGTACGCGCTAAATTTTGATGATGGACATGGATCCCAGATATCAAGTTGAGGAATTCTACAAGAAGGAAATGCGGCCGCACGCGAGCTAGCGTAAGATCGCCAAAGGGAATGGAATGACAGGAGGAGCAATATATCTTCCAGATCTTCGATTTCTCGTCGAAATATGGTGTGAACAGTTCGACCATTACTTCTTCGGTTAGGATAGCTACGCCAAAGACAAAGGCTTCCGGAAGTGGCTGATGCACCAAATTTCCATCAGTGTCAATATGACAGCTTGCCAATGCCATCAAAGTCAACACTGGCATGCTTGCCGCCATCAATGTCCTTCGGGCGATAATGTCTTCTTGCCGATAGAGTTGCTGCTGGCAATTTCCAGGCCCGCGTGAGGCGATGTCAACCGCGACGCCCACAGGGATCTGCGTATCACCAATACACGATAAAGAGCTGAAGTGCGAGATGGAGTCGACGGGGCTGAATCCAAGAGTGGTAAAGATTTCACTGTGAAAACAAATTCAAGATGGGGAGAGTATTCGGACGGGAACGGTACTTTTGGCGTACCCGAGATTTGTAAATTCATTGCGTCGATGCCAGCCACGGAATATGTGGTTAATCAACGCATCGTTGTTCGAGTCAAAAATCCACATGGTGCCCAGAATGCTTGGATCAAGACGAGGCCATCCAGGTCCGTTCGGATTGTTAAGCCCCTTACTGCCATCGCCACGAACTACTTCGAAGTTTTCGACTTTATGGTAGGACGTGGCAAAGGCAAGGTTCAAGTTGAGAGTCAAGAGACTTCTATAAGAGGTAGCACGTGGGAGACTCATTAGTTTCTCTTGCTCGAACCCTCGCCTTAGTGCCTGCAAAAGCCTGAAGTAGCCGTTCAAATAATTCTAAACTGTGCCTACATTAAACTCTGTGGGCAGACTTTCATACACCACACGCGAGCGGATTCGGGAAGCTAAACTAGCCCTAATCAGGTAGGGCCCGGAGATCGAGTTCCAGAAGAAAAGGTGCGTAAATTCGACGTATTCCACGACTGGGCGCTCACTGTGAATGTGTTAGAATGGTGGCGAGTCCGACAACAAGGTGGATTTGAGCGTACAGCCAATCACTCAAATTTCGGGCTTGCAATAAGGGATCGAGTCCTGCCCCTTTTATTTGAGGATGGGCAGCGTCCGTGCCTATCGCAGCCGGTTCTACACGCGGGTCCATTCCCGCTGAGGTGGTCATGATTGTACTGCCACGGGCATTACATAAGCTCTGTGTCGCTGACGTTACTGAATTAGGGTTGGAATTTTCCAGACTCCAGCTGCCCATTCATCAATGCACAACACTGCGTAAAGGTCGTTTATGTTTATGATTGATCCTGTTCACCTCGCCCCGAGATCCGCCAAATAATGCCCTAACATCGGGCGTGCCATAGCAACTTGCGCGCCCGCTGTCTTCCCCAACCTGTCTCGAGGCTCGATATTCTATACGAGCTCGGATGTCACAGAGACACTCTCATTTCACACCCAGATGCTACGGATGCTTTTCCATGACATCGGTTTGGTAGAGGCTGGGATCTTGCCTAATCGATTACTGTGTCTAGACATCAACGCATAATATCCTTCTACCACTCTCCGAGCCTTCCGTGCCCCCCGCGCGTGTGTGTTCGTTACTGTGACTTCCACGCGAGCGCAGCCCCGGCCCCGTCACAATACTTTCACGATACTTTTTGCGGATGATGAGAGTACGGCATATACCGATTTTCACACAACGAAACCATCCATTATGAATTCAACCCAGGAATGCGGCGAGCCTCTGACCATAGAACATGAAATCACCCTTCAGTGGTTTACCGAATCGATCGGTTTCAGACTCAAATCGTCAGTTCCCGATCCAGCTCGTCTTCCAGTATAATCCATACTTATTACTCGCAGTGATTTGATTCGTGTTGGCTTTCTGGAGGGTGCGAGCCCTTACGCCGACTCACTCTCTGGGGCCATGGAGTATCTCAGGAACCTTCGAAGCCAGTGGAACACCGGAAAATTGGGACTTCCCTCTAACTGGATGGTAAATGCGTGCTGAGATGTGGCTCATCCTCGCTCGTCTAAGAATGGCCATCCTAGTTCTCCAAAGCTCAGCTCGAACAGCCAATAATATCCCTCCTTGAGGAAGAAGGCCCTTTTGTGTCCCAATTAATGGTTGGCGCTACATTGGCACCCATTCAGCACATGCTATCACCACTCACACCTGAAGAAGTTGATTCGCGGTACGACTCGCCCGTAGATTTACAACCCGACTTTTTACTATCCACCGCCCGCGTGTTCTTTCAACCTCACTGGACAACAGACGAGAGACGTCGCCGAGTGATTGGTTACTTGAATCGCGATACGAGATACGCTTCGAGCCAGCTCCATTCATTGCTTATGCATAACGGGGGCGACGTATCCTTTGGTGATATGGTCATGTATGCATTGTCTGGTTCTCCGGGTTGTTGGATTCTGAGGTCACACGTTTCCGGATACTGTCTGACATGTTTCGTGCTGAATCCCTTTCAAACAGACATCCTCAGTTGTGTTTCCCAGAAGAATTTCAGCCTTCTCAGCCGCCGGACCGTATCCATTTTTGCATTGTCAGGCATCTCATCACACCACTGATGGCTGACTCAAAGCGGGTTGATCAACATCTCCCCGTGTCTTTTTCCAACCCTGCTTTAATCACAGGTGCCTTCGAATCTGGCAGCGAGTCGGTGTCATCCGAAACTCTTGAAAATGTCTTTCATGTGGTCCGCGGTAGTCTGGCGAGCTTAATGTTGGCGTCGTTCGTGCGACAACTAACCTCACCCCGGGGGAGTGGATTCTGGTCGAAAGGTTCAAAAGATCGTTCATTGCCTGAGTTTTTGATGATATTTGGCCTTGTCTGGCAGTCGGGTTGTCTCACGCTCCTAGCATTCATTCCATTCTGGGACGAAGCCTCAGGAGAGTATCTCATAGCATCCTCAGAATTGGACACATTCCGCTTCGGGCAGTATCCACCAGAGGAGGATCAAACCGAAGAACTCATGACTGGCCCGAACTCTCCTTATCTCGAACGTGTCCGGCTGTTTCTTGCGTTGAAAACCATATCAAAGCATGCATTCAGACTGTGTGACATCTTTGATGCTCCGATGTCATGGCCACCCTTTGATGTTCGTGAAACAGAACAGAAGTGGCACCTTCTCTATCTTCCAGAGGATAGACGCACAGAAGCGCTGGATGATACCTCCCACTTCGATATCAGAGAAGCGGAGGCCTATGCTCAGGAGGAGGAAGCTGAAGAACTGGATGAGGACGGCATCTATGATCTCAGCAGTGACTCCGATACGGACGAAACTTCCATCTCCACAACCACTGATCCTAGCCTTGCTTACCCACCCGTTGACACTACCCCCATTGGAACCTGGCTGGACGCAGTGTGGACCAAAGAGTGACAGCTCTCGGAGGGGCCTCAATGACTTTGGCGGTCATCCTGGAACCTTATCTCAGTCCATTTCTTTCATACTCTCCCCGCGCTTTCCTCGAATATCTGATCTTCATTATGTTCGAATCTACGAGCACCGCGAGGTGCTGCCTTTGAATCCCCCGCACTTTATTGCACTGGCCCGCTCCTCGGAGCATCCCATCGAAGGAGAGGTTATCTGCATAAGTATGGCACAGCATGAATCCCGCTTGTGACTGTCAGTTGTCGGTTGAGGATTAATCCAACGCTATTGATAAATACATCGCAACAGTCGTATGATTATTTAACTAACGCTGGAGATAGCTTAGAGAACACTCCCATGTCCGGTCAGTATACGTGCTGCATTTTGATGGTGTACATGGATCCCAAATATCAAGTTCAGAAATTTCTGGAGATCTTAAATAAGGTCTAGCATCAGTTCAGCTGTTGGAAAGTCACTATAGGCGCATCGGTTTGAATATATTCGCTTCATTCGCCACTGTTCCCGTGTCGTGTTTACATTTCTTATTTAACCCGATTTGGCTGGGACTCGACATGTGAACTACACAGTAGGCCCACTGTTTGAGAATAAAATGGATTTGTACTCATAGGTAAATTCTTCACGTACAACAATATTGTGTATGATAAGGAGTCAATCATGGAAGTGCTTTTAGAGACGAAGTCGATGATAGGGAATGTACGTCAGGCTATCAAGTTGGTGGAACAAGCGAATAAGGAAGCGGGTGCGTGGCACGATGGACGAGCGAGAAAGGGGTGGAAAGGGCAAGCATCGGGTTCTATTCACAAGTATGGGAGGAAAGATCATGGAAATGGTCGGATGCTGCGGGTCCGTTTCCTCTTCACCGTTTGCGTTCTCTCGCTTTTGATTCGCCAACGCCTTTGTATCCCATCGCTCTTGTATTCTCGATACATACGAGTCATATTGGCTTGCGCAGTAATACCCAATTCATTTGTTTGTTTAACCGTTTCCCAGTGTCATCCTTCAACCACCCGTAATGGGCGACTGAGGATCCGCCGTTCTGGTAGCTAGAATGCAATATCATTAATGTTTAGCAATTGGCTCTCCCACCACCAGCGCTGCCATCTTCTCCTCCAGGGTGTGGGCTCCCCCCTTCCCTTTGTCCTTCCCTTTGCCCTCCTTACCCTTCTTTTCTCCCTTCTCCCTCTTCTCCCTCTCCTTTTCTTCATGCCTTTTGTGGTAGTCATCCCGAATCGTGGCAACGTCCTCACGTCCTAGGACCTCGACATACGCTGGATCAAGAAGCAACAAGTTCTCCAGCCATGATCCTTCATCATCAATTCCGTGCCTCCAAACTTTAAACGCTTCCCCCACAATCTCATGGAATGAAGCGGCCGACAATTCCTCAAATAATCGGTTGTTGTGTTCTAGGATTGCGGCCATAACCTCCAGAAACTTCAATACTTCCCCACTTAGCTGCCCTCCGAAGAACGTGTCTGAGATGGCAAATGTTCCAAGATTAATCGTATTATACACCCAGCCGGGGGATGGAGCATCGGGGGCACCAACTGCCTCCTGTTCCCATGATGGGAACATAACGTCTACCACGATCATTGCCGAGGAATAGCGCAATCCGAAGACAAACCCATGTTTTGGGAGAGGAGGGGGGTTGCTAGGACTAAATTGGGTTCCATTGGTGGCAGCCAAGGCAATGAGCGACAGTATAGGTAGCGATGCGAGAAATGTTTGGTTTAAGGCTTGTGTAAAGTTGGATTTTGCGGCGGGTTGCTTTGGCACTGACAAGCTGGAGGATGCGGGTGTTAGTCGGGTATTGGCGTGTGGGGCCCCCTTTGTTTCGGGACGTTTGGCTTCCCCAATAAAGATGCCGACTCGGATCCCCATCAACTCATTGAAACCCACGGATGTGAGCAGATCAGGGTGAGGAGTTGTACTCCCGAACCCCATAATTGGAGGAGTGATGCTGGGCTGGTTTCTGATAATCGGCATTTAGCGCTGAAGTGATTGCGCGGGCCTGCTGACACGCTTACGAATGACAGAAGAACGATGGATTCGAACTAATATCAAAGAACGGCATTATGGCTGCCCCAACGTTTCTCTCGGTGTCCATCTCGGTTGGTGTCGTCCCTTCATGGCGTGGGAGTAACAATCGGACGATGAATTCGAACATCTGCTTATTTTTCTTCAGCATCGTTCTGCACTCTCGAAAGGTCGAGACTCGATGGTCCACGGTTTTTCCCTTTAGAGTGCTAAGGCACAATGTTGCCGCAACTACTTCTAGCATCTCAAACCCGTCGTTAAGGGTAGCCAAGTCGCCCAACGTAATTTCCTTCCAATTGGAGGGGAGCACCTGGTGATAAGTATTTCACAGCGTAAGATGCACATGAAAATGGGGGACATATGATAGACACTTGCTTACATTAAGGAAATCGGGCAACTTTTCAACTGATTCGTCAACCGATCCATCAGCCTCCATGAGATGCGCAAACACTTCCATATTCTTCTGCTGTTCACTCAGCGCGTTCGGTTCCTCAAAAGACTCTTCCGTGGCATATTCATCCCAGCTCAAAAAGACTCGGAGACTTCGCGATGCAACATCTCCAATGCTCACGTTGCTACCTCGATCATGGTCAACCACCTAGAGTACGATGGAGCATAAATTTGTGCATACCTGGCTGTCTTGAAGCCAGTAGACATCGGTTTTTCAATAGGCTCTGATCGATCGATGAATCCAAGCTTCTTCAGATGGTCCCAAAGGAGTAGGTTGCTTATGACCTTTGGGAACGGAGGGAGTGTCCGGTTTGGATCTCTGATAGTGGGATATTGGTAGTTCTTGACCTTTCGGTGGAGATCTTGAAGGTGATCCTGCATGATATTTGGCATGATGACGACTGCAAGATGTGAAAGTCACAGTGTACGTTGAGAGAAACTAGGGGCAATTTGCTGCAGGTGCGAACGTAGAGTGATTGCGCTGATTGCCAGTGCACGCTAACAGCCGGCTCATTTCATGGAGTATTCCATCAAACTAGACACTATTGTCCGCATAACAATAAACCGGAGAAACACAGATGCAACACAACAAGAGTCCCACTTCTAACCATCAGTTGTCAGTCGAGGACCAAGTCAATTTTTGTGATATGTCGTGCCGAACGTGTCGCTGTGTGACTAGTACTAGTTGACAGAAGATGGCTTAGAAAACACTGCCAATACATGTTCATCCCACTCATGTCTGGCCAGTGTGCGCGCCACATTTTGATGGTGCACATGGATCCCAGATATCAAGTTGAGGAATTTTACAAAAAGGAAATGTGGTCGCGCGCGGGCCAACGTCGGGTCGCCAAAGAAAATGGAATGACAAGAAGAGCAATATATCTTCCAGTTCTTCGACTTCTCGTCAAAGTACGGGGCAAGCAATTCGACCAATACTTCTTCGGTTAAGACAGCTATGCCAAACACGAAAGCCTCTGGAAACGGCTGATGTACCAAATTTCCACCGGCGTCAATATGACAACTTGCCATTGCCATCAGGGTTAAGACTGGTAGGCTTGCTTTTATCAGTTCCTGCCGAGCAATGACATCCGCTTGCTGATAAGGTTTCTGCTGGCAGATCTCTGGTCTACGTGATGCCATGTCAACCGCAACGCCCACAGGGATCTGCGTGCTGCCAATACGGAGTATAGAGCTGAAATGTGAGATCGAGTCGACGAGAGTGAATCCAGGAGCCGAAAATTTTTCACTGCAAGGGAGAATTCAGGATGGAGACTCCGCAAGCCGGGATGATACTTTGGCCATACCCAAAATCTGTGAAATCTTCACGCCGATGCCAGCCGCGGAAAATTTGTTTTATCAGCATATTGTTATTTGAGTCGAGCGTCCACATTGTCCCCAGGTTGCTTGCATCGAGTGAAGGCCAACCGGGGCCATTCGGATTGTTGAGCCCATTACTGCCATCACCACGAATTGTCTGGATCTTTTCGGCTTTATAGTAGGATGTTGCAAAGGCCAGGTTTAAGTTGAGAGCCAAGAGACTTCCGTAAGAGGAAGCACGTGGGAGGCTCCTGAGTTTCTCTTGCTCGAACCCTCTCCTTAGTGTCTGCAAAATATTGAGGGTCTGTTCAAGTGGTTCTAAATTGAGCCCACATTAAGTTCCGAGGGGAGATTCTCATACATCACAGGTGAGCGGATACGAGATGCTATACGAGCCCTGGGCCTGGAAAATGAGTCCCGGAACAAAATGTCATTCAACTTGGTGTATTCAACGGGTGGGCATTCGCTAAATGTGGTATCAGAATTGTCTTCACAGCGAGATGACTCGACACGCACAGCCAGTCAGTCATATTTCGCGCTCGCAATATAGAACCAAGTCCAGGGTCTGTCGCCGCCTGGGAGTACGCAGTGTCTACGCTCGTCATGCCTGATTCCGCCGAAAGCATAACTTGTCGCGTCTTGATTCGCACTGCCACAACACCCACGTGCCACATAAAATCGATCTTATGTACCCCCCTCAGGGATGCAGCGAGCTTCCCCCAATAGGGCATCCAAGCGCTCTCCGCTGGTTCGTGGAATCGTTCAACTTTCATCTCAGTCCGTTAGTTGCCAATCCTGCTCGCCTTTAAGCACAATCCATACTCATTGCTTCTAAAGTGACTTGGTTTACACCGGCAACGTGGAGGGTGCGGGTGTTTACGCAGACTCACTCTCCAACCACAAAAAATACCTGAGGGACCTTCGAAATCAATGGAATACTGGGAAGCTAGAACTGCCCTCCGACTGGATGGTGAATACTTCCCAACATTAGATCCGCTCTTATGCCTCTGAAAACACGTCAGTTCTCTGAAGCACAGCTCGAAGAGCCAATAGCGTCCCTTCTTAACGTCCAAAAGCCATTTTTGTCCCAGTTAATGATTGGCGCCACATTGGCGCCAATTCAGCACATGCTATTGCCACTTACCACTGAAGAAGTTGATTCCCGGTACGACTCGCCTACAGATTTGCGACCGGACTTTTTGCTGTCTACCGCTCGCGTATTTCTCGAATCCTACTGGACCACCGACACGCGACGGATCCAAATGCTCGGGTACTTAAAACGTGACACGAGATATGCTTCGAGCCAGCTTCATTCACTGCTTATACACAACGGTGGCGGTGCATCCGCGGACGACATGCTTATATATGCATTATCTGGTTCACCAAGCTCTTGGGTACTAAGGTCACACATTCCTAGACATTTATCACATGCTCTGTGCTGAACCCTATCGTTCGAGCAGAAAGCCACGATTGTGTTTCCCAGAAGAATTTCAGCCTTCTCAGTCGATAGACCGTGTCCATTTTTGCATTGTCAGGAACCTCATCACACCGCTGATGGCTGAGTCAAAAAGGATTGATCAATATCTCCCCGTATCCTTTTCCAACCCTGCTTTGATCACAGGTGCCTTTGATCCTAGCGATGAGTCAGTGTCGCCCGAAACTCTTGAAAATGTCTTTCATGTAGTTCGTGGTAGTCTGGCGAGCCTAATGTTGGCATTGTTCTGTCGACAACGAATTGGGGCTGGATTCTGGTCGACAGAAGATCGTACATTGCCTGAGTCTCTAATGGTATTTGGCCTCATCTGGCAGCCGAGTCGCCTTACACTTTTGGCATTCATTCCATTCTGGGACGAAGCTTCCAGGAAGTATTTCATAGCAGCTTCAGAAGTGGACACCTTCCTCTTTGGGCAGTATCCGCCAGAGGAGGATCAAACCGAAGAACTCATGACTGGCCCCAATTCACCTTATCTTGAACGCGTCCGACTGTTTCTTGCTCTGAAAGTCCTATCAAAACATTCATTCAGACTTTGTGACGTCTTTGACGCCTCGATGTCGTGGCCGCCCTTCGACGTTTATGAAATGGAGCACAAGTGGCACCTTCTCTATCTCCCCCAGGATGGGCGCACAGAGGCTCTGGATGATGTCTCACACATCGATGTCGGAGTGGTGGAGACTTATGATGAGGAGGAAGCCGGGGAATCTGATGAAGATGACATCTATGGGTACAGTGGTGATTCTGATTCAGACAAAACCTCTGTCTCCACAACGACCTGCCCCAGTTTTACTTACCCACCCATTGACACTGACTTCATTGAAACTTGGCTCGATACAGTATTGACTGAAGAGGGATAGACTTCCTGGACTTCAGAGGGGCCTGGGGGACTTAGGCAGGCATCCCGGTTTCTCATATACAACAGTTCATTTTCCCGGAATCTCTTTTAGTGCCCTCTGGCACTTTGCCTTCATTATGTTGGATTGTAGACACAGTGAAATCCGATACCTTGTTGTCTCTGATCGGTTTGAAATCCCCCATGCTTTCCATTGTTGTTCCTTGAGCCCCTTATCCACAATTGGGCTGAGTGAGCCACCCGATGAACCAGTGAACCAGCATTCCTTTTATGATCCTTGTCTAGAAGTGGTGCCTGGGGGTCTATAGATTGCGGTATGTGGACTCTAACATGTATTATATAATAAATGACATATTTCGTCGCTGGCATTGACCTAAAAAGTTCATGAACCCTGGGTGTGCTGAGAATGTCGTGCTAGTCCGAGTACTCCCACTTTGAATATGTTCTCACAGTGAAACTTTTGCAACTCTTGGACCCAGTCCTGTCAACTCTGTCTCACACTTCAGCTCCTCAGTGGTACTCAGATCCCTGTGGGCATTGAGACACAGTCGCAAGCTGCTGCAGCTACTTGCAGCATCTCGAACCCACCAGCTAATTCTCCAAGCCTAACCGTGTTATACAAGTAACCCAGCCGGAGGGAGGATGGGGCATCGGGGGCGCCAATTTCCCTTAATGGGAACATAATGTCTACTATGATCATTGCTGCAGAATAGCGGATTGCGTCTTTGGCACTGACAAGCTAGACGATGCGGGTGTTGGTTGGGTCTCCGCATGTGCGGGACCCTTTGTTTCTGGACGTTTGGCTCCCCAATAAAGATTCCGACTCGGATGCCCATCAGCTCATTGAAGCCCACGGATGTCGGTGAGGAGCCCCCGAACCCCATAATAGGGGGAGTAACGAGAGGCTGGTTTCTGATGATCGACATTCAGTGCTCAAGTGATAGCGTGGGCCTGCTAACACGCTTCCGAATGGCAGAAGAACGATGGAATATCAAAGAACGGCATTACGGTTGCACCGATGGGGCACCGCCCCACTATGATGTGGGAGTGATGATTTCCCTCAGCATCGTGACACATTCTTGGATGTTTGAGGCTCGATGACCCACGGTTTTGTCCTTCAGGGTGTGAAGGCACAGTGCGGCCGCAACCACTTCTAGCGTCTTAAACCCGTCGTTCAAGTCGGCCAATTCTCCCAACGTAACTTGCCTCGAAGTACCTGTGATCAATGTTTCATAGCGTAAGACACACCCACAGATAGGGAAGATGTGACCAACACCCAATCGGGTAACTTTTCAACCACCGACCCAACTTCCCCGAAGTGACTCGCAAACTTTTCCATACCCCTCTGATGTTCGCCCGAGCGTCGGGATCTGCAAGAGACGTCCCAACTCGGAGACTTCGTGGTGTGACATTCCCAACACACGCTGCTACCCCAATCACCTAAATTGCGATGGAATGCGAATCTGTACATACCTGGCTGTTTTGAAGTCAGTAGACATCGGCCTTTCAATGGGTTCTGATCGATCGATGAAACCAAGCCCCCTCAGATGGTCCCAAAGAAGTAGGTTGCATATCACCTTTGGGAACGAGGGAGTGTCCGGTTTAGGTCTCTGATACTGATAGTTTTTTGATCTTTTTGTGGAGATCTTGAAGGTGACCCAGCATGACATCTGGCACCGTAAGACGGGAAGATGCGAAAGGCACAGTTCGGGGGAAAATTGGGAGGCGATTTGCTCCAAATGTGAACACAGAGTCATGCGCCGATTGACAAGGGCACCCCATGGAGCGTTCCATCAAACTAGGCACTGTTGTTTCGCCGTGTGCAAAACAATAAACCAGGGAAACACAGTTGCAACACGACAAGAGTCTCATTTGTAACCATCAGTTGTCTATTGAGGTGTTTGGTGTCGTGCTGAATGCGTCGCTGTGTGATTAGTACCAGTTGACAGAAGATGGTCCAGAGAACACTGCCAATACATGCTCATCCCACTCATGTCTGGCCAGTGTGCGCACCACATTTTGATGGTGTACATGGATCCCAGATATCAAGTTGAGAAATTTTACAAAAAGGAAATGTGGTCGCGGGCGAGCCAACGTCACGTCGCCGAAGGGAATAGAATGACAAGAAGAGCAATATATCTTCCATTTCTTGGACCTCTCGTCAAAGTACGGGGTGAGTAGTTCGACCAATACTTCTTCAGTTAAGACAGCTAT